GYRKKGWKAKMSMAAAACGATTCAAAGACTAAATCGAATRGGTATTAATAGATTTTTGGGATATACCAATCATTTTCTTCTGTGTGCGCTTSTCTTTTAAGGAAAAATATTTAAAAATAAGCRAAAGCTTTTTTTTCTGGACATTGAARTARCATTTYTAGCGGTTAAAAATAATAAAAATTTGAAAGATTTTKAAGACAAGGGATTTTTATGCCAATCCATCAAGATCCAATCAAAAAAAACTTAGGTAATAAAAGCGATATTTCATAAAATCAAAGTGTTTCATTTGTTTGTGATCTTTTTAGAGAAAGCTWTGCAAAAGTATARYTGAAAATGTTTTTACCGTAAATTSATAAATAGAGAWGATTTCCCAAGAGAAATGGAAGAAAATAGATAACATTGAATGAGAATCCTTTGGATTAATATAAGCTGCTTTGTGCGTTTTGTGGTGTATTTGGAGTTCTGGCGCGCCAGGCGGAAGTTCGACAAGTAAATATCACTTATTTTAGCAGGTAGTGTTGTTCAAGTACAAAATATCGTTGGATTTATTTTTCTTTCAAACCGCAGGTACCGAATTGATTCCTCGTTGAAAAATCTCTTAATTGCCGTGAAACTAGAAAGTGTTTTTACCACTTCCTTGGATTAAGATGAATGTTTTTATAGTTGACAAAAGGGTTTAAATCGAACGATGCTTTCTATAAAGAAWAGGAGTGGAGGAGTCGTCGTTGTATTTGAATTCATCGCAGCGAGAATTCTACGTCGGATTCTAAAAGGGTAATTTGGAATATCAAAAGATTTGCGTCTACCGCGTAGGAGCGCAAAATGATATGCTAAATAAGACTGATGTTTTTGCATAWATTACATGATCTATACCATCTGTGACAGAGCTGTGTTGACAAAAGCGAAACAAGGAAAAAATAGAGCCGGGGATTACAAATCGACAATTGTATCCTTTCAAGCGGCAACTCYATAATGGAAGAAGAAGAAAAATCCGAAGAAACAGACA